GACGCTCTTGTTATCCTCGCGCGCACGATGATACTCACCCAGAACATGACGTTAAATCCAAAGATCACGTACTTGAGGCAGCAGCTCACCTCGCTGGTATCCCTTCGGTACTTCCGCACGGCGGGCATGGCTGAGAGACATTTATCTACCGATCGTGCGAACCCCTCGCATACGTGCCACACAGACACAACACACCGAGAACGGATGGTACACGCGTGGCGACGGCGGAGGGAATTACGGAGCCGCCGCGGGGGCGGCGAGGGAACACACTGTATAATTCATATACTACGCGAGGAAACTAGGAGCACACCACCTACGAGCTGATCACGAGAGCGACGACATGGCCAGCGCGAGGCGATCTTGCGAGGCGAGGGTCCTCTCTTTCAGCTTCTTCCTTTTTCGGAACGCCCGCGCGCTTCTTTTATCTCGCTCCCTCTTTCTCTCTCGGGCTCGGTCAATCAGCTGATCACAGTAACGCACCGTACCGCAATTACGACTGCCGCCATTGTCACGTCACGGCGCGCACTGCTCGCAGCCGGATCAACGAGACTGCCAGCAAGTCGCGACCACCGCCTGCCCTCCCTTCCCTTCCTGCGCTGCACTTTGCGTGTTCCGCCACCCCCGGCGATCTCCCCCCTCTATTCCAGACATCCGCTTCCCCTCCGTCGCACGAAGCGCCTCGCGCTCCCACTTTTAGACAGTCTCGTTGATCTCTCTTTCTTTCACTAGCGATTCTCCTCCGTGCGATCGACTCCCACTCGTTTCGCCACCCTACCTCACGGCATCCCCCTCTGATCCGTCGCTCCCTCTTCCAGGGCCGGCTCTAAGTATGTGTAGAGGAAACACGTGTTTGGCCTTTATCAGAGCTCGCTTTGGTTTCGCGTAACATAATATATACAAATGGTATCGAAAACTATTTAGGAATAGAATTGTATTTATTTGTCTTTTTGTCAATAAATGAATTATAAATAATAAATTTATAAATTAAATGTGATAATGTATAAAAATGATGATGATTACAGTAGTAGAAGTTTTATTAAGAGAAATCTCATTGATTCAAAATATACTTGAATAATAAGGACTTATCTACATTTATGAAGTATAAAATCTTTTCTTTTGTCAAAATTATTAATATTGTCATAAAATAATTAAGAACGTTAATTTGTAAAAAATAAGAAAAATTTTGAAATATTAAATCTAAAAACAAAAATTGTTTAATGATGAAAAATTCATCTACAGTAGAGAAGAAGAGATAGCCGGTCCTGTGTCATCTCCTTCACGCATTCCCTCTCATTTGCTCTATCTCTATCGTCCTTCCCTGTCAGTCGGCGACCTTCCGTCCCCCTTTTCCCTCAACCGCTCGTTGTTATCCCCCTTCGTTTATTTTGCCTCTTCCTTCTTCTTCTCCTCCCGTTCGCTTTATTGTTCGACGTCTTTCTTTTCGTCTTTTAAGGTACGTCTCCATTAACGCCCTTTTCGCGTTTGCGTGCGCGCTTTTTCGCGATTTCGCGTCTTGTGCCACTTTTACGACCTCCATATAAACGCCAAGCTTACGATCCAATCGATTAGCACGAAAATCTCTCTCACGCAGCATATGATGACCAATTTTAATATATGTGTATATATTTTTTGTTTTTATTTATTTATTACAAGTTTATGAATTTTTTAATGTATTTATGCTTCTCCTTTTTTTCTCAAGTACCAATATTTTCTAACATTCTGTTATTCTTACATTATGTTTTATATAATTGATGTAATTATTTATTTTGTTCACATATTTACTTGTTAAATATCCATATATATAATATGTGTTTAAATATATTTAACTGTATAATTTTAAAATCTCATGGTATAATATTTTTTTCATATTGTCATTTTCTAGCGTGACATCTCGTTCTTAGAACATTACGTGAGCAGTTTTATCATTATAATCGCCTCAAGTTAATGATGATGAATTAACTTATATTGTTTTATCTTATTTAAGTCAACGTGAAATACGTATAATTATTAAAGCTAACGATACATATTTTCGTCTTTCAACGATTGCAATCGTCAGATATTTGTTCTGCTTTTGTATTGAAACATAATATAAAATATACGCAAAAGAAAAATGATTATGTTCTTTTTTCATTTGCAAGTAAAAGACTATTTGAAGGAACCCTTGTGTAGTATTTTATCAATAATATTGGTCAAAAGTAAAAATATACAAATAAATTAATCTAAATTAAAAATTATAAATAATCGAAATTACGAAAAGAGTTTAGTCAAATATTTATTATTATGTATTAAAAAGTTATAAAATATATATAATATAACTATATAAATTTTATTTCTCTTCATTTTAAGGAAACGGGAATTAAATAGATAGATGAATATATAATTAGATAGATAGATATTGATAGATATATATTGATAGATTTATCAATAATTAAGAAATAAGAAATTTCTTAAGAACCTTCAATGATCATAATAAGATCTTAATAATAAAATTGTCATCGTTTGAGAAGAATGTTAAGAAAGCAATTAGTAAAGAACTTTCTTAAGAATTAGAACGTTTTGCGCGAGCATATTTTTACTTTTCTTCAAAAATTTATTCTCTCTTTCTTAAATTTACACTCTTGTAGTTTGGGTATAGAAATATCAAAGGTAGTGGAAACGTACCTTTAAGGTCGACCACTCGTTCAATCTCCTTTCTTTATCATGTCTCGCGTGCCCACCATGAATATTCAACACGTTTCACTCTACATCGGGCTCTAGCATCGCTAGATGCACATGCGCCCATTGGAGCATTCAGAGAAATAGTCAGTCATCCATAATTCAGTGTTTCTGTATTAAAAAATTCTTTAAAATTCTATAAATTCTATAAAATTATTTTATATATCATTGTAATTCTTGACTATATTAGATGATTATTATATTACATATTAATATGCAATATAAATTTTAATTATTATAATATTTTTTTACTTTGTATATTTCTTAAGTGCATATATTTTTATTCACTATCTGGTTTTAAAATAAAAAACCGCCAATCTCTTTTTATTACTCTGAGAAACAGTAAAAGATAGTACTATTATGGAAAATATGATATACGAAAGATATATCTGTGTATACGACTAATAATTATATAACATATTTATTTTTAAAAAATTTATTTTTCAATTCTAATAAATTGTGTTTTCATTATTTTCTACATTTTCGAATACACTCTCTCTCTTGAAAAGCAATTCTGACAATAGCGGCTAGTTTTTGGATTCATCTCTTTTGGATTCTCCGGTCTAATGTTTTGTTGTATTATTTTGGGTTTTGGGAGATAGAGAAATAGCGAAGTAGATTAAAGGGAAAGGTTCTTTGTTACTTTGCGAAATCGTTTAAGTCATTAAGAAAGGTAGGGAAGCCTTTATCCCTTACGAAAACAAAGCCAAAAGCCAATCGTCGATTTATCTTCCTTTTTATCGTTGCTCTCTTAATTAAGTAAGTTTTATAGTGATCAAGAAGAGATATATCAATTGGTAACAAACTTATATTTCAATCCTTTTAAATTATATTTTTACTTACATATAAATGTAATGTGCGAAATGTACATAAGAAATCTTGTTACTTTTTATCGATATTTTTGACAATTCGAAGAATTTTAATTGCAATCTCTTTCATGCTATCTTTTTAATGATTATATTTACCTGGTACTTTTTCTATTTTTAAGAATTTAGTTTTTTTCGGAATTTTGATATGTGCTATCTCTTTAGTGAATATATTCTCAACTTGTCCAACTTTATAAAAATATAGAATTTGACTAAAGCCAGATGCAAAATTCTAGGAATTTTAAGAATCGTAGTTCTTAAAATTTTATTTCGTGCTACCCTTCTTTGATAATTATATTCTTCCGAGACTTTTCAAGAATTTAATTGTAATTTGCACAAAATATTAATAATGATAATTGATATTCTTAATTTATCGACGGTAAATAATTAATATTGATAATTTCTAATTTATTGATGGTAATAAAGTAGAAATCGACTTTGACGGATGTCAATGAATATCAAAACAGACTTGATAGCTTCTATTTCTCTCTCTCTCTATCTCTTAAATTAAAGAGAGATTGATGCATTCTTCACATTGTGTTCTCTTTCTAATGTTTGACGTGTGTGTCGCTCGTGGCGTTGCTTAACATAGAGTTTATCTTACATCCAATTAATTAAAAAACGAAATCGTATCATTGCAAGATGGTTTTATTGGAACATGCGAGAAATGTATTAAAATTTATTTCCGCAAGTTATATAGAAATAATTAATTCGCGTTGATAAAAGATTTTTATCATAACCTTTTTCTCTAACCTTTTTATTTTTGCTTCTATATTATATTTAACTAATGTCAAGTTTTTTCTTTTTGTTCTTATTAAGGATTAAATTATAGAATGGATGTGAAAATAATAATTTTACTATTGTTGTGATTTCAGATATTACCAGTTGTTCAACGAAATCTTATACAAAGAAATTTTCATGCGAGCACAGTTCTTAATAAATCACAATCTGGACGCTACAAAGTCACGCTTAAACGAGATAGACCACTGACGTATGAAATGGCAAATCCGCCTCATTATCTCGCTCACAGGAAAAGTTGGAACTCTTGGAATACCTGTATGTAATTTGCAAGAAGTATATATATATGCCAGTTTGTCACATTTCTATAAAATATATTATTATCTTTCTAGCGAATATAAAGGATGGCAATAGACCATCGGAGACAGCTGTAGAAGATATGTTTATTCGACAATTTATGAAAGGGACATGGCATAATTTATTCGCGAGCGAAGTTATCATTAAGCGACAACATAATATTATTAGGATAGCTGGAATTATTACTCGTACTATAGCACCCTATAAAATATATTTTTTAACTGGCTATACCGAAGAACTTTTGAGTTATTGGCTGCAATGTCCCATTAAAATAGAATTAGTTACAACTGACAGTAAAAAAGATGTAATATTCAAGTATATATAGAACCTAGTATACATGTGTAAATAAAATCAATTAGATCTTTATTATACAATAATATTTCTCAATATTTGTATCATGATTAAAATTTGCATAACGCGAAATAAATTTTAACATGATATATATGTGATACGGACTTTTTTATTTTGATTTAAATATTATTTTATTTACTATAAGGTATATTTTAGTAATTATAGTATATAATACAGGGAATGCATATACACATATTCCCCTTATCATATATCTACATAATACTATATTGAAATAATTAAATAAATTAATGTGCTGCAAAGTTTATTGTTTTCCAAAGAAACTTCTTTTCTTTTTATTCTTTGCATGTCATCCATTTATTTTGCATTACTTATAATAAATTGTTACATTCGATCATGACTCAAACGCAGCCCATATACAATCATTGCATCTTTATAATAAAAAGAGAAATCATACATCATACCATAAAAGGATTACCCAAATAAAACTAAACGCTTCAAGAGCAGACTGACAGAGCATTCATAAATTCTATATATATGAAGATAATATAGCATAATAATTTTACATAATTGCTACTAGACCACACTCTCTCTTTCTTTATGCTTTTACAACTCCTACATATTCGTTCAGCGTTCAATCAGGACCGTGTGTAGCTCTCTCCTGCTACATTTGTACTTTTTTTGCGTCTCATTTAGTATCATTATTCTATATGAATGTCTGATAAGGAAGAATGCTATTACTTGATATCCACGCTATCTTCATCCTGACTTATTACTAGGATAAGACTTAATTAATCAAAAGTCTTTGTATAAAAATCATATAATCTACATTGATGATAATATCGATGTAACTAGATCATACTAAATGTATTTAAGATGAAATTACTCTTTCAATGTATATTATGCTTAAAATGTATATATATTAAAAATCTAATTAATATAAATAAATATAAGGTAACTTTAAGATAATCCTTTTACTTGTATACAAATTTTATTAATATTATTAAAGAGAAGCCTATTTATATGTTTAAACACATGCTCAAATACTATACTATATACATGAGAAAAGCGAAATATATATCTAGAATACATACCTTATGGATGTTATTAATGTTGTAATAATAATTCTTTTTAATAACAATATCTCTTTTGGCAAAAAGATAGCAGTTTTGTCAACAAAATTTGTACATGGTCGAATTTGTTCATCTATATTTCCCCTGTTTTTAAACAAACGAAATTTACTTTACGACATATATATAATCCTTATTGTTTTTTAAATAATGTATGATGCAACTACTTAAAAAACTGATTATTATTATATAAAATGCAGTATATTAATATATATAATTATAATTATATATATATAATTTTATTTTATACAAATTAATGTATTATTTACAATATAACTTAAATTAATACGCAATATATAAATTTTTCAAATTTCAATCATAAACGTGAAGTTATTTTTATATACATATATAAAAAGTTCTGTTTACCAATCAAAATGTATTTTTGCGAGGATCAAGTAATAAATCTTCTAGGATGAAAAATTTTTAGTACGATTAAAACAGAATTTCTCAAAAAAAAGAGAGCTTACACGAAACCTGATTGAAATTACAGATTTTTATAAGCGCAGAGATGTAATTGATTTTATATGATGGACGCAACAATTGTGTTCCAATGCCTATAATTTTTTTGATCGCTCTTTTTATAAAAGTACAGGCTGAAATGTGCTGTGCTCGTATTATCTTTTTTTTTTTAATATTCTAATATAACTTAGTATTTTTAACTATGGAAGTCAAAGTTTGACGTTATATCGCAATGCTATATAGAATAACGACTTTTAAATTCGATGCGCTTTTTCAAGTCAAAAAATGTAAAATTTCGAGTAAAATCGTATTTTGTATTTCATTGCTTAAATTACATTCAATGGTTTATTTATATTCTCAAATTTCCGGATGATGATGAAAAGTGTACTACTCCATTTAACTTTTCAGACATATCAAATGTTTTAATATTGAACTAAAGATTGTACTTTTTTTGTCAAAAATGATATTAATATAGTTACTTTTAAAAGTAACATCTTGCAATGAAGTGAGTGTTTGTTTTATATATAAGTTTTATATATAAAGTACATAATCTTCGTAAATATAATTAATTTGCAAAATGATATTATTATAAATATTACAATTATATAAATTGTAATAATAATAATAATAATAAACGGAAATTAAAAGTAAATATGCCATATCAGCAAAAAAACATATAAATTAATTTAATTTGTGATGAATATTTATTACACAAATTATATAAATTTTATGAGATAGCTGATAGATCGACCATTGAATATTATTCTATGTCAGATTGCGTGTATAGCGTCTTTTTTATGTTTATATATATTTATATATATATATATATATTCTTATATATATAAGTCGTTATGTAATGTGCCCATGCAATTACAAAGAGAATTGCGAGCATTAATCCTAAATATATTAATCAAAATTATACCAAAAAAGTATGCTAAACACTCTCCAAGCAACAGAATACAGCATTCACATTTTACAAGACTTTAAAAAGTTGCTATCTCCATATCGTCTCAAGTAAAAATACCTACTTAATATTAAGTAAGATTTAGAAAAAAAAGAAAAACTATAAGAGACTGAATGCGCTACTGTAGGAGAAGGTTGAAAATTAATGTATTTAGAGAGAAGTGCGTAATGCATTATTCGAGATTTCTTAGAAGCTTAAATGTGGTGTTTCTCTTCGCTAACTCGATTTTAAAACAATTTATATATAGCGGTTTCTTGACAACGTATAGATAAAGATTACGTTATTATTATATATACTACAGAGTTTGATGAATCCTTATTCTTAACTAATTAATCGTTTGTTCGCTTAATACATTGAATACCGGCAATAATACTAGTTTAAATCAACGCTTTATATCGAATTCGAATTCTCAGAGTTCATTTAGAGCCATATAGTATAATACTATGAAACTACAAACTGCATTACATCCTCTCGCAAATGTTATTGCAGTTCTGAAAAAACAATGTCTCAAAATGCATTATTCTCGAGAGAGATTGGCACCTTATAAACTTTTCTTTCTATAGAAAAATGGAATAAAAATCTTTTTAGAGTAAAATAATAAATAAATTATTGTTTTTTTTTTACGAGATTTTTTATACGGTTACAAAAATTACAATTTTATATAGCTTATAGAGCGTAAATAAAAACAGAACATTAGTTTTTTTTAGATATTTATATACCGATCAGAAAGAGTAAAGACACATAGGTGTGATACGTAGGAATAAGTTACTTGTATATAGTAAGTATTTAAAGTAATTTTTCAATAAAATGATAAAATAATGTAGGCCAGCAGCCTATCATCGATACTATAGGAGCATTACTATAAAAACATTTTTTATTGAAAGATCTATTAAATGATACGAGGATAGTCTGTAGGACTGTCCCAGTTATTGTCAAGCTTAGATAAATATCTTACTTCTCGCCAGTTGTGGCGTCTCATCTATTACCATCTACATCATAGAAATAAAATGTATTACAAAAAAAATTACAGTTTAAAAATATTATCAAAGTTATTAAAACGGAGTATTATGACAATTTAGTTGCAAAATTTGAATATAGTTTAGGATTTGAAATGATATAATAAATTGCGTTTATAATATGTTATATGAATAGCATATTCAATTGGAAATATTTTTACGAGAGACGCTAATTATTTCATTTTTTAAAACTTAGATTAAACCGAATGTGTGCGCCACAATCTTTTGCAATGCAATTATAATCATCTTATTCTGAGATATATAGATCTGTACCTATCTTAATACACGCATTATTCCGGTACGGTATCTAGGGCTTTGTTAACGGTATCATTAGTATTATGCGAATATTAAGTTCTAAAAAGCTCCCCAACATCAATAAAAAAACGTATGTACAATTTGCCATCCGATATCGATCGTACAGAGACAGAAAATTAAATTCAATTAGGATTCATCAAACTTTCATTACAGTACATGTGCATAATTCCTTTAAAATGTCGCTGTATATGCTTTGCAGAAAAAAAATGAAAAAACACGTTATCCTAACTATTATGAGATAATGCTATAGCATAAAATTTCTCGTGATAATCTATTATTAACCGTTGCATCTTTTCATAATAACTTTCAATCGTGCATGATAAAATGATTCTTATTAAACAATTAGCTTTCTGAGAAAACGGTGATTTTAGAAACAATGGAATAGCGCGATAATATGTATCTTTAATCAATGAATCCATTGATTTATTCTAGAAAGACGATAAAACTGACAAATATACTTAGTCGTGTTTGAAATATTCATGTTGTAAAAATGATTATACAACATCGTACAGAATTAGATTACTATCGACAAATTTAGATAGATGTCATTCCATTCAAATGCAATTCAATTGTACGAGACACTTGTTGGAAGTATATAATTTTTTTTTTACAAAAAGTTAGTTTGTTTCGTCAATATTTTTCTAAGTTATTAATATTAATATTAAATTGGGGTCGGCTAAAGACGTCGTTTTGTAAAATCACCGCGTTCGTGAATGCGACGTGAATGCTCGTTAATCTAAGTTAAAGTATATTATCTGAATCGTTAATCTCTTCTTGCTTCCATCACTTCGAAGCTAATATATCTGAAATACTATGGCATAGGCGGCTTCGCGCGTCAGCCAAAAATGCATGAGAGCACGTGTTTGTCACTTGACTCGTTCCGTTCTTCCCGTTCGCAAAGCAAAATTCAGTGTCGCTGTGTGTGCTGTACTTACACGTTTTTTTTCAAATAAAACGCTTTGATTTTTTATTATATGTGTCATTAGACAACGATTAGACAAAATTCCAACGCTGTTTTCCCACATCGTACATCACACAATCAATCATTATATTTATTCTAAAAAACGCAATGTGTTCACGTATTTAAAAAGAATCAAATAGCGATCGATACAACGTATACATATATTCATGTTTTTTTCGTTTTCTTTTTTCTTTGCTAGTAGATAAGAGACAATTACAGAGTGATCTTTACGGACGAAAGCGATGAAAATACCCATGCGATATCTCGAATACTGCTGGTAAAATTATGATTTGTGCGCTTTGTTGCGTCATGTTCTTGTAATTGTTTGGATAATCAATTTTGCAAAGAAATCGCGTTGGGTTCTATTCCAAAGAAGGATTTTCGCGCATTGATCGCCATTACACCAAATCCGCCAAGAGATTTTATTTATCGCGAAAGAAACATAGGTACTTTCATGCTGAAAATACATTTCCACACTTGTTATATTAGTTAAGAGATATTACGAATTGTACTAATTTTCTTTTGCTACGTGATACATCGTAATATTAAAAGAGGAGCGAGTTAAAACTGATTATTATCGTGTTTTTTTTTTCGTATCTTTCTTTCCTTTTATATGATAGCACAAATTAAGATTTTCCAAATTTGATTATTATTGAAATAAAATTCGCCATCTCGCTTTCTCGTCGTCTATCTTTTTGTTCTGACAGTTTAAATTAGGCCCAAAGCAATCGGCAATTGATTCTAATACGTCACATCATTCGCTTGCCGTGTGAAAACATGCTTAATACGAAGGAATATACAAATATCGAAGAGATGCCACCTCTTCCTTCGAGATAATTAAAACTATAGCATAATTACCTACTTTATACAACATTTACTACACACATGTCTTTGATAAATTAATCCTTTACTTGTATAATTCAGTTGTTGAGGCCTCAAATTAAATTAAAACGATCCTCACACAATAGGTTTTTGAATAGAAAATTTATGTTGTTAATTACACATTTGCCATATATAACGAGATCCATTATTACGCTATAATATTTATAAAACATTTATGAATTATAATCTGTGCATAAACTTATGTATCTTTTCGAATATATGTTACCGTGTACTCGTTATTTATAGTATTCATTGTTTATAAAAAAGTAAAAAAAAAATTCAAAGTGTTCTCGGCGCGATTGTATTCCAGAAAAAAAAAAGAATGGGATCTGTACATACAATTAATGTATAGAAAACATAAGTGCTTTTACATGTTAAATTGTTTCAAAGAAAGAAAAAAATTCTAAAATAATACAAAACACAATATCGATTTTTGTAACATATTATTATAGAATATATGTGTTGTGTGTGTGCACGGTATTAAGAAAATTAAAATAAATTTCCACATTATGTGTTCTTCCTAATATAAAAAATCAAGCTACATACTAATTGCAAAATCCCTTTGTGATATTTACAATGCATATGTATAAAAGGAAATATTTATACTTATATTTAGATATTGACAATTGCTGTAAAAGATGTAATTGAAGATTAAATTATGTACAACAATATGAAAAAAAGTATCAATTTTCTCTTTTAATACAATTTTAAGCAAATTAGTGTAAATCTGCATGAAAGATTGCAAATACAGATTGCACATTCTGATTATTTGCATTTTAAGAAGCATCAAGTGTCAAATAATCAATGAAAAATAAAAATTGCAGACCTTCTTAATTTTAGAGAAAAATATTTAAATGCAAGTATATTTGCATTATAATCGTGCGCACATTTATACACATGCAATATTGCATATTTTACAATATCATTAAAAGCTGTCTAATATATTTCCTAAGATAACTAAAATAATTAGAATCTATATTTTGGTAGCTGCGGTATTAACTGCACATTGCAATAGAAAGGACAAATAAGCAAGATGTCAGATAGATGGAAATGCAATGTTGCAGAAAAACGTGAGAGCTTTCGCGCGATTCTGTCGAAATTCTCTCGTTTTTCGATGGCAACTGAATTAACAAGTAGTAGGATTATGTGGTATACAGAGCACATATACATTAATATAATCGGAATCGAACGGATACCTAAAATGTGGGCGAATGTCGAACTGGTCTCACTTTGACACTATAATAAATGTATGTGATGAATATCATTATATTATATCGTACTTACAAATACACCCGCTACAATATCATCTATGTTTTCTTGTTTTCTTATATAACATTATCATATTATATCAATATATACGTGGCCAATAAGAACAGATTTGTACTTGCATTGAAATTGTTTTAAGTCAATCACTCCAATCACTTCGCACAGCCCAGTATAGCATGTATGTTTTCATATGCTTTTTTGTTTTCGTTTTGTTTAAAAATACAATTTTTTTTCTTTTTCTCTCTCATTGGATGGCAGCATTCTTATCAAAAGGTTGGCTTGGAGGATGTTGTAATGACATTTAGGAAGGGGAGGAGGGAGTTTTATTTAAGATGTGTCTCTCTCTTTCTCTCTCTCTCTCTCTATCTAGTAAGACGCTCTACTAGTTTCGTTTACTAGTAAATATGTTAATTTGTTCCAATTGTGTTAAATGTTGATATCACAGAGGCTTCTTGATCGGAATATCGTCATTTTCTCTTTCTTTATTTTTTGTAGGAAAATAGGTATCTACATACATATTATGATGGTAAATAGAGAGGTTACAATAATTCTTAGGCGTGGGAGAGTGAGTTAGCTCTTAAAAATGCAATACACTATACATGGGCTAGCTAAACGCATTACAACACGGCTCCCTTCACCTGGTCATTAGAATTGTGTGTTCGTCGGCGTCTCAACGACAGCAATTGCTGTTGATTGAATGTGCGGCAATGTATGGAGTATTTATATGTATAACGTTCGCTCTATTGTAGTAAGAGTAATAAGTCGACTGCGAATGATATTGCTAGAGCCAGAAGTAAGTAGAGAAGAAGTGATGCAAATTCTTTTTTCCCCTTTTTTACCTTCCTTATTGATTTCTCGTCTTCTTATGGTTACTTGGGCCTAGATCGCAGCGGCTGCTACCTGCGTGAGATCAAACCATTACTTGTTCCTACTGTCGGTGTCATTTCCAACTCCACTAACAGAGGAAAGTGATCTGGAATATGAAACATAAAATGTTGACGTTATTAGTTTCATCAACGGAAGAAAGCAATTTAAAACGTATATAAACTTACCAGATGGGACATGAGGATGAGGACATCCTACTACTTTATGCTCTTTAAACCACTCTGGGCTCAATGGACCTAGGAGGCCTAGTGGCACCATACTTTGCTTCGAATAGAAAATGTAGTCTATTATGCCTTTAAATTCAAATCTGAAAATGCAAAAAAAGCATGTTAAAAAAAATATCCGAATATACACATATAAAATATATCTTATATACATAAAATAAACTATACGCGTGTAGAAATAAAAAATAAATTGTTCTCTTACGTATAGTTGGTGTAGGGCATAATGTCCTCGCTATAGGCAGATGCAAGCTTGAAAGAATGCGTGAACTCGTTAGGTTTATCGCAGCCAGAGATCTTTTGTAAACACGATTTGTACGCTAAATCCTTAAAATCACGATGATCGGCTGCTACACGTCCGGATGTAAGAAATTCGATCACACCTGCGTAGCGATTTGTTACTATTAATATTATATTTATAAACTGCGTACATACATAAATTTATTATCGAGTATTAGTAAATGCAAGAGACCGATTTAAAAAAAGTTTAGAAAAATTGCTAGTATAAACATGTGTGTTACCAGAATCAGGTAAGGAATTAAAGTCGCCACAAAGTAGCAGTTGAACATTGGAAGAGTCAGGCTTATGGCCGGGTCTGAATGACTGGCCAGCTTGGTCCAAAATGGAACGTAATTCATTGCTCAACATCATCGTCTGTATCAATTTTACATCGCAAAATTCGGGATCCCAATGGATGTGCGCCGTACAAACTAAAATTGGTTGTTGCACTTGTGCTGGATCAGATGGAACACCTGCAAAAAACAAAAAAAAAGAAATAATCTGATTAGTTGTATTCAGATACATGATGTATCAAATAATTTGCCAGCATCTTAAACGTTCAGATATAATTTGGAAAAAAAGAATAATTAAAAAACACAAAAACGCGAGGTATAATACGAAAACGCGAATATTTAATTGTTTATAAGATAATTGTTTATAATCTTATATTTGGATTGCAATATATATTGTATATATAATATATGAGCGATAATATATAAATATATAATACCTTTTTGTTGTCTTCATGAATTTATTTTACATTATGTTACATCGAAAAGTTATATTATGATGCTTTTAAAGGAATCTGTATCTTGATTATTATTGAAATCTCTAACTATACTGCATATTTATATTGTTGAGTATTAATACATGACAAAAATTGAAATTTGTTATCAAATATAATAAAATCTATTTTATTTTGTCAAAATTATAAATGCTATGCATAGTAAGTTTATTTATTTATTTATGCATAAGCTTTCTTCATACACTATACCAAAAAATTGTATATTTAATTATAAGAATGATAAAAATAAATTCTAAACATAAAAATTATTATTATGATTTTTTAACAGATATAGANTACCTATTTTTTTGTATTCTTGAAAACAAATAAAAAAATATATAAAAATTATATATGTAATTATTATATGTATTTTGTAAATTATCCTTTATAATAATCATTGTGATGATATTTAGATAAGGATAACACAAATTAAGGTCATAAACTTTATTTAAAAATTGTATAACAAATGTTAATCTAACGTTTGCAATAAACTTAGTACCCGCTCGCATGCATCATTTCTTCCTTTCAAAATATAAGCATATTTTTCCAAAAATCTGCTTATTGAAATAGTTCAAATTATTTAAGAAACCGCAGAAACTTAATAAATTATGTATTTTTTTAACTGTTGACAGTTCTATCATTTACAAAACGGTTCTCCATTATTAATAATGCAATTATGGTAAATACAAACTTAAATAAATTTCACTTTATTACATAATTAATGGCATCAATCTGTACATAAACAAAATGTATTATTCAAATCCGAGAAGTTTAATTAGAGATGGATATAAATCCTATAAATATACATACATCCAATCAATTTCTAAATTAAAATATTATTATCAATGTAAATACACCATAGAGAAGTAGACATGGGTATGCTATGAGAAGCTTCTGGTCGTCTTCTCCCGACATAGTGGTGAAAAGTCTAGAAGCGGATAACGATGCCCAAGCGACAGCTAAGACCGCAAAAATCAGGCCTATTGGGCCTCGCAATGTAGTGAAGACGCTAACACCCGCCAGAACAACCACGGGCAACAAGCAATAGCCCAATACAGATGCGACAGACGACAATGTGATATTTACGCTGCTGCTCATCAAGGACAGTAGGATATACATGAGTATGCAAGAAGTCATGGCTAAGCCATATACATAGCCAAAGTGTGCTTTTGAACCGGCCAGCAGTAGAAACGCCGCGAGGACCAGGCAAAATGCCACAGGCCCTGCTAAATCAGAGTCCTGCAGCAGATAATTTGCATCATCGATTTGTCCTTTCCTATGGAAGGGATTCAACACTGCCAGAGTCTTTTGCATTATCCTGTCGGGATCGATACCGAGCTCTTCCAGCAGAGGCGGTTCATCCTCTTCCTCTCCGAAGCCAGGAGTGCCTGTAAATTCAGTGAAGATTTCCCTTACGCAATGTCAATACATCAATAATCCTCGAGCAGATGTTCCAATACATCAAACACGACAAATTATCCATTTCTCTATTGGCAAGAATAAATTTTCTAGAGTTTTCTTCGAATAACATTCGACTACTAATACGCAACTTTCATTGCGCGTTCAAAATATTTCCGAACGTTTGTTCGCTCATCATTAATCTGACACACGCGGTGTTGACGTTAGCTCGAGGATCAAATAACCGAAGGATGAGTCCGTCGTTTTTTCTACCTTTCGTATAATCGTCCTGCGTGTATAGGTCGCTGCCATAGGAGCTCTGTGTAGGATCGAGAAAACTCTTGCGCCCATACGAATAATCGCCAGTTGCTTGCTCGTTGAACGTCTGGAATTCGAATTGTTGGTTAGGTTGACCGAAACCGGACTGATCAAAGTTGAATTGGCCCTGCGGCAACGGCGGCGACTGGGCCCAGTAGGTGTTTTTCTGGCCGGCGTATCCGGACATCCTGCCGACGTTTTTTAATTACGTTTCTTCTTTATAGATTCGAGTCTTCTTCTTGACCTCGAATTATTCGAAATATGTTGACACATCAATCCGTTGAGATCGTCAGCACAGGTTAGGCTAGATCACTTATTGCGCGGTAACAGCACATTACAGCGCGCTGCTTTAGCGACATTCGGTAATTCAGTTGTATTCTTCACGAATAATACTTATTAATTAATTGATTGTTATGCTACTATGTCTTCTTCATTTTTTTCACGTCTTTTCAGTTTTTCTAATTGTTGGAATCAGTCTTCAAATGTTTCTTAATCTTCTATGATCTGTGTTCTCATATTTCTTCTATTTATTTTTAAAAAATCCTTTTTATAATATTGTTGTTCTTTTGTACATGTATGTACGATCATTTTAAACATATATAATTCAATAATTTAAGAGTTACCGCACCACCTCCTAATAACAAATTCTTGAGATCATTTTAAGATGATTTTTCCACAGCAAAAATATCAAAGCATCAATAATTTCTGTGTTATATGCGATTCAAAAAGAAAGGTTTTTTGCAAAAATTTTATAGAGAGTTAAAACTACATTCTTGAATTAATTTCAGATAGAGTTTACTTTAATAGAAAGAGAAGGAATTTTAATTTAAGGCTTAGTTACAAAGGTATATGATGGAAAAAATTGGAAACTTGCAAAAAATGATGATCTCTCTCGACATTTTCGCTGAGGAAAAAGCGTCTCAAGAATCTGCCATTAGCAGGTGATGCGGTAACTTTGGGACATCCTGTATATATATATATATATATATATATTAAATTAAATTATTTGATAATATAATATTTAATAAGATTAATAATATAATATTTATCAAAAGACCTGTATATATACATGCATCTTGCTGCGCATGTTCGTGGTATTTTGCGACTTTGACTCACCATCTTCCTCTCACGCTTCGTTATTAATTGCAAGGGTGATTAAGATGAAAAGGAGCAGCCACGCGATACTGAGTACTAAGTTATCGGTACACAATTAGAACATTCATCAGCGTTAAGAGAGTGTAAATCCCGAATCCTTAGTTCGGAGCAGTCTCGGCTCGGCCTTTAATAAGACCCGTAAATTAGCGCTGCTAATACTTTCGTTGCGCAATTACGGTAGATTAATGCTGTATTTAATTTCCGTTGTCGATAAATCCCTTCGCCGTTGGCTCCCAAGGGCATTGGAAATCGCCTGACTTGGGAATACTTTGCCGCAACAAGTATGCACGCAGAATGTTTTCCCAAGTTTTTTTTTTTTTTTTTTTTTTTTAACTATCTTAAAACTATAAAAATAAATGGAGATGATGAAGAGTTTTTCATATAATTTCGCAATATAAAATCTCAATTTTTTTTAATTATTGTTTTAAATCGCTTTAGACGTTATAAGATTTTCAAACACGTCAAAGCATAGCGACATGAAGATTGAGAGCGTCATAATTTTATTGGATACTTTATTGAATATAACACAATCTCTCACCACTGTGCATGTTGATGATCTCGCGACATAGTAATTCAGTATATTAATTTAGCTTTTACGGTATATTAACTCACCCATGACTTAAGTAATTACCGATACGTGGCAGGAAGCAAAAGTTGTTCGCGCGATGAAGGAGATGCTAACGGTATGATTCTAAGATGGTCATTTAAAATTTACACTTGAGCTCTTCTCATTATCGGAAATCGACATGTTGACCTGTTCTATTAATTTCGCGATCGATTAATCGTCCCGTAAATGGATCGTTCACATATTCGGAAAAGTCATCGAAAAGTGGTTTATCTCCCGATTAGCATTATTATTATGATTAAAGCAGAAAGCTATATATGTATTGTTGAGTCTTAAATATAACAATATATATATCGCCAAGAAAAAATTAATAATTATTGTTCCAACAACAGAATCGTGGATAAATCTTTTTTTCTTTGAAATGTAAAAAAAAGTGCGCGCCGATAAAATTAACGAATAAAATTAATAGAAAAGTTTCAAAGAAAAACATGATAAATATAAATACATATATATTTGACGTATAATTTGAAGTATTAAATTTATTAATCAATTTGACATTTTATGTGTATATATATATGCAGTGTCAAATTGATTAATACATTTAATACTTTATTTAAAGTTGAAATGCTTCACCTATTTAATATAATAACTTTAATGTAATTGCGATACTTTGTGGAAAGTTTTTAATATAACTTTCAAGTTGTTCGAGCAAAAAAAAAATTGGCTTTATTGCAAAATCGCGTTCAACCCCGAGGATTAAACGTCCTTAAGTTCTTCTTTACTCTTCTCTTTTTCACTTCTCTTCGAGTCCGTGGCGATCTCCACCGACTCTCTCGAGGATTATCGGGCGTAAAAATCGTTATTTAATACCCCCGTGTGAGATCCGGGGGGTATACTCTGTCCTCTCGAACACAATATCGTAAATCCGCCCCGTTTAATTGCGCCCACGAGAATCCGCTTTTACTATCGGACCTTACAGATTAACCCTACTCAAGCAGCTGTTTCGCCTTGCGTCTTCAATCTCTTACACCACGTTCCTTCGCAGAAACATTCCGCAAGAATCGCTCGTTCTACGAGAGAAACTTACGCGATCCAATCAATTCTTTTGCACGAAGAAAATAAAATCATTATTTTGTAATCTAGATAAAAAGCGCAACAAGATAAATGAAATAAAAAATATTTATTTCATTTTTTAGTATTAGAGTTGTATATATAAGAGTAAAATTACCTATTGCATTTTATGACTTATTTGCTTAAATCAAAATAATATGCAAAATAATATTTACCATAACAGTACAGAAAAACAAGATAGTGGTTTAAATGTCCCAAAGCGTTATGGGAAATAAAATATTCCTGTTATAACTCGAAAATTCATCGTGAGAGCGTTACTAGTCGCTTTCATATTGTATAAAGCAGGATTAAGAGAAGTCGGTAACATGGCTGTTCGCCATTGGCAATACGGATATTTCAGGGTGTAAATCAGTCTAGATTAGAATAGAGGGTTAAGGTACCTTCGAATGGCGGTTGTACGACAATCGAACCCGCGAATCGGCATTCGCCGGGTCGAACCGGGAGCAGTCTCGTAAATTACTGAGGGAATCAATATCCGTTCTATCCCCTTTCCCCGAATACCTCCTGGGCAAGAGAAGCTTTTATAGCAGGTACGGATCCTGCAATCTACGAACTGACTTTTATGAAGAATCGAAATCAAAGGCTAATTATCCAAAACTCTAAAAATAATCTGACTGGAAAATACAACACACACACACACACATAATATTGATATTGCTATCTAATTAATTTTTATATTGGTAATAATAGAGATTTATTTTTGCTCTCTTGAAAAAAAAAATAAAAAATATGAGAAACAGTATTAGAAGAGTTTATATGTATAATATATATTTTAATTTGGTAAAAATTCTCATGTGTTTATATTATATCAAAATGAATAAAGATTTATAAAAATTATACAGTCACTAGAAACATAGAACGCAATTTAAATATCCTGTGCTTAAAGATCAAAAATTGAAACAAATTTGATAAATACAAAGAAACTACGGTGTTGGCATTGCTATATAAAAGACTGCGATATCTAAAAATCATTAAATTAAATGCCAATACGCTGTCATTAATGGATAGATTCATCTCCGACTTGTGTCGCGTCACTACTTATTTTACGCAAATCTCTCACCCCTCACTCTGCATTAATATGCATATTCGAGAACGATGTATCCGGCGCGGATATTAAAGCGCAATGGTGAATGATTACGAGCGTCACTCCGAGGAGAGTTCATTTTGTCGTTGTGGATATTATTTTAAAATCGCCTATCCAATTAGACTGTTGTGATGCGTATAATGAGACACTCGATGTCGATATATCAAATTTACAGGATGTTTCAAAACACGATAATCGAGCTTTGCGAAGATTTCAGATTTCTTTTACAAAAATGTGAATTAATTATCATGCAAAAATTTTGTTTTAAAAAGTGAATCTCTTAAATAGCGTCGTCACAATTTCAATTACAAACAATACGATAAAAAGATTTCATACAAGTAACAATTTTCATACTTTACTGTCTTAAATCTCACTTCATTATCGTGTTAATAATAACGCGGGAATAATAATATATAAATGATGACATTAATGATACATGATAATAAATATATATTAATGATAGAATAATAATAGTGACTGATCGGTAGATATATAATATGTATATGTATCATTGAAATAGCCTGTAGCAGGCATGCCATCACGCAATCATGTGGAAAAATGCAAAGCCCACGCTTGAAGCGCGCGCTTATTTATGCATACGCATATAGTTACGCAGTTTTCAGTGAGCGGCGGGTCAATATATCAGTGAAAAATCGGACAGAGTGACACGTGGAGGTGAATACTCGTTCGAGAGATGCTCATTCGAGATAGGTTTGGTGTCCTCGGTATCTCTAGACAGCCTGTGCGAATTTATAAAGCTCGCGCGCGAGAAAGAGAGAGATGGAGCTTGTGCTGCTGCCGTTACTCTATCCGCCTCGGGCGAGAATGCGAACGCGAATATCCGAAGCGAGTACACTCTTGTCGCGGGATGCATCGTGCCGCGAGCGCGATTAATTAAGCGACAAGATGTCTCGCATGTAACGAATGTCGTGTGACGTGGTTCTCGCGGTTACTCGTTCCAGCTCTCGCGGATTCAATTACCCGACGATTTATCTGCCGATTGCAACGAGGTCATGGAAATACGAATCATCGTAACGTTACGCGACACGGATATTATATCCGCGTCTTAAATCATTTATATGTACTCGTGTCTTTTCCAGAAAAGATCTAACATTTTTTATTCATTTAAGTGACTTATCACATTCATGTGTTAATTTAGCATATTGCTGTTGTGTTAATTGAACTCAAGTAAAAGTTAAATTATTAAAACAATTGAAAAAAGTATTAAAAAAATACAATAACTATGTTCCGTATTATTAGTGACAGAATTTATCTGTTAAATTTTACGGAAAAAAATGTTGATTTTATTCTATAATAGGAGTAAAAGTGATTACAGATCGTCAACTTTTTTTCTAAGTTAATCATCTTATTATTAAAAATATGTTGATTT